ACACACTATTTCTCTATAAATTCGGGATAGAATAGAGTTTTGTAATAGAATTGCTCTTAATGAATATTTTAAATATGCATAATGTTACAATACATTAGGAAACTTTTGATTTGATTTTCATAAAAACTTACATCTGATAAGCAAGAAGCACAGTATGTGTTTAGAGAGACACAAATGTAAACAATCAAATAAAATGGCATAATTTTCTAAAAAAGGTAATAAAGCTGCAAAGAGCAATAATGAACGTTTTATAAGTTTCAATTAAATCGCTATGCATCGCTTTTTCAGAAAGCGTTTTTCAAACTTGACTTTTACTTTTATGTTAATAAGAGCTTCAGAAGCAAATTTTACGATAAAATTTTAGAGTGACGCTCATAAAAAATATTTAGCTTAAAAAATTATAATTTCTTACTTATTTATTTTTTGCAAAATTTCTTAAATTTACCTTGTATTATTACATTTTAGAACAATTTTATTTCAAGGAAATCTTGCTTATTTTTGCTGATACTTTAAAAACAATTTATACCTCGGAAATTACTGTGCCAGCAATTATATAAACCACTATTTATCATTACCTATTAGAACATTTATTTTGTGGAAATTTGCTTTTATTTTTACTTACTTATTTATTTAGCTGCTCTAGAATTAGCAATAAATTTTGTAAAATGTTGTATCTCAAAAACAAATAGAACTATATCATTTTAAAGTATAGCATGATTAGGTACTATTTATTACAAAATAGAAATTTTCATTGTGAATATTTTTTGATAAACCTTCTAAATATTCAGTGTATGACTAAATATTATATTGATTTAAAAAAACATGCATCTTCCTAACTGCAACTTTCATAATAATTTAAATCTCAGAGTAACAGCATAAATATCATTCGAAAGAAGTTTTCACAGTTTTTAATCCGCTTACAAGAAGTAGGGTTAAAAAAACAAAAAACAAACAATTTAATGCGCTGAACTTCTTTGGGCATAATTTTGTAGTGCGGTTTAATACTGTTATATTGATAATTTACTTTTCTCAATTAAATTTAATATTAAATTTAATGAAGAAAATTAAATACTGAATTTAAATACTGAACATAAAATAACAACTAAAAGTTTAAAAAAAGATTTATACATAATCGAAATAATTTTTTTATACTTCTACTAATAATCGCTTTGAAAAATACAAAATAAGCTTTTATAGTAAAGCCTGGAACTTATTCTTTGTTAATTTTGATGAAGCAAACAGTTCATCATCAATGGATAATTTAGAAATGATGTTTTCATATCAATCATGCGAATTGATAAGCAAGGAGTAAGAAAACACAACATTCTTCTAATTCATAAAAACGTAACAAATTCTTCACTTCCGAATTTTTCAAATCAACTCGTAATTATATTCAGTTTATAAAAAATATACATTTTTAAGATTTCATTGCTTAAAAGTGTTTTGAGAATGAATGGAATTTTTATTAATCCTAAAATTATCATAAAGCTAATAAAGAATTATTACCTAGAGATGAATCAACAGCATATGGTACAGTTGCATAATCATTTGTCTTTTTTATCATTTGTAAATATACTATATTTGTATTCAATCATCAGTCTTGTTCATTAAAATACCCATCAATAAAATCGAATTCAACTTTATTAAATGTAATCAAAATAAATAAATATTAAAATTGTTGTTCAGAATCCAAAACTTTTCCGACAGAAATGAGTTTTGAAATAGTTTTCAATTTAAAAAAAAAAGGATTTAAGTAATTTATTCACAGCTTCAGTTCAGAATTTCGACGTCACCCCTGATAGTTTTTGATGCAAGCAAAATAGTTTTCATTATTATTTTTATATTATTTTCACAGAATAAGAAACATTTTATGTACTAAATTGTTCTGCAGCATTTGTTTTAAATTTTCCGAAAAGTTAAAATACATTTTCAGTTTTTATATATTTATTAGAAAGTATGAAGATTGATTGATATATTATTATATGATTGATAATAAGGTGGTAAACTTGTAGCATAACTTTCCATTAAGGTGGTAAACTTTCTAATCATATTTAATATCATGGGAAACGCCTGCTGCTATTGATTAAAGTAATATAACAGTATCATAAATATCACTTTAAATTCTTATTGCTGTTTTCAGTAACAATCCATTTCAGCACAAGATAATGTATTTAAAAAATATTTTGTTTGGTTCCTTTTGCCTATAAAAGTAGTTATTCAATTTCGTTGATCAAACTTATTGTTAAGAATATTGCTAAATAGAATTTAGAACCACCCACTAGTTTAAAAAGACACACACACATATATAATTATATATATATATAATTAATTATATATTATATTTATATAT